CTTCGAAAGCTAGGATTCAAACACAAAGAGTGTCGAAAAGAAGTCTATAACGATGGCCAGGAACAAGAAGATGTCAAGTATTATCAAGATACTATATTTCTCCTACATATAGTATCCTACAATTCCCAATTTCTTCGCTGGGATGAAAACCTTTCTGAAATCCCAAATCCTATACTTCTGTTGGGTCAAGTTCCACCACTTATCCTGGTTATGCAAGATGAATGCCCATTCAATTCAAACAATGGAAAGCATTTTATATGGATACATCCAGAGCCTGTACTACTGCGGAAGAAAGATCATGGCCAGGGCCTTCATGTTTCTGAATTCATGACACCTATTGGTCAGTTAGGAAATGGTAAAGCTTGTATCATTCTGAAGTGTGGAGAGGATATTTGGTGGACTGGTGACAAGCTTTTGGACCTAGTGACAAGCTTTTGGACTAGGTCCTAGATAAAGCGATCTTGAAATTTGAGGCTCAATTTTCTGGTTGGAAAGCCTTATTTGAATTTGACAATGCATGAAATCATTTGAAGTATGCAGAAGATGTACTACATGTTTCAAAGATGAATTTGGAACCTGGTGGAAATAATACCAAACAAATGAGAGATACCTTCATTACTGATCCAGCACATCCTGATAAAGGCTATATTCAGCCTCTCATCTTACCAGATGGTAGACCAAAAGGTTTAAGATTAGTTCTTACAGAGCGTGGTCTATGGCCATACAATAGGCCTCAATTTCATACTCAATATTCCATTTTATCGGCTACTGGCAAGTCAAAAAAACTAAATCCTAACTGTCTAGATCGTGGAAACCGCTGTGCTCGGGCTTTGCTTGCTGCCCAACCTGATTTTAAAAGTTAGAAAAGCTAGGTAGAACAAGCAATTCTAGATGCTAGGCATGAGGTCATATTTTACCCTTCCGTTCATTGTAAAATTAATTTTATAGAGTATTATTGGGGGGCCACAAAGCGTTATACCTATGAAAACTGTTAATATGATTTTGAATTATTGAAACAGCTTGTTCCTCGGGTACTAGCCAGTGTAGATAAGAATGTCATCTGGAAATATTGGGCTAAGACTGAGTGAATAATGGAGTCTTACAGATCTGGGGTCATATATACTTCAGCTGAGTATGAAAGTATTGTCAAAAAAAAGTACAACTCTCACTGTCGGGTTAGTACTGTACAAGAAGTCTAGATTTGTATTTTATAAGTGTATATATTTGGGATTTACAGTAATTTTACATTTGATATACATGATTATAAGTTATAGCTCATTATTATAATAATATGATATTGTTAGAGAGGTCAGATAGAGTTTCCAGAATTACCTAACCCTGCTTACATAAGGCATTAAATTTGTGCAACGCCACTGGTACATGTTATAGACACCTAGCATCATATCTAATCACAATGATATTACCTGGTAGTTTTGAGGAGGGATTTAGTCTAATTAATCAAGTTTACAGAATCTTTTTACTATTTTTTGTGTATTTTTGAAAAATTCCTGATTCATACAATTATGAAACATTACTTACTCTATACTTTTCTCAATAAAAATTCTGGTTTTAGGTAATATATTTTAAATTTTATATTACATACTCTAAACTATGCTAATATTCTTTCTTCCTAGTTGCTGCTAAATTGATTATCTACTGCTGTTGTTATTGATGATTCTTTATGTTGTGTACAAGTTTTAAAAGTGTCCCATAACTAGGTAGTGTCCCATAACTAGGTCACATACATTAATGGCCAACTCTCTTCCCGCAAACCGGGCTCTTGATTTAAGGTAGGTTTACTGGGACAAGAAACACTCAGCCTGTGGCCCTCTTACATCAAAACCAAGATCCCCTCTGCGAACCGTTTTTTCATTTCTAACGAAGCTGAGGGCTTTAGTTTAAGACAAATATAAGTGCGAAGTGGGTGGAGAGGGATTTTCCCTAAGGAGTGCTAAAGATAATTAATCATGAAATTGAGAAACCACTATTAGCCTAGAGCAAAGGTCACTGGCATATATTTTTTGTCTGGACCCCCGGCAAAGTCCCGAGCCACTCTATGATTTTACTACGCTACTGGTATATCGAGGGGTATTCCAAACTATCAATTTATAGGGTTTACAATTTCTTGAAGGGAAGAAAGAGTTGTTCTTACATATGATTCCTAGAGTTCCTCAAAACTCCTTAGCCTGGCAGTGTGGAGCTCCGAGTCTCTGAAAATGGGCATTTTTGGGGCAAAATGGCAGACAGCATTTTGCTAACCTACCATACCTGGCGCGACCCCTACCTAGACCCTTCGGCAAGAGCGAAAGCAGACACTATTTTGTTGGAATAACTATCTTGGATTCTCATATCGAGAATCTAATGTGTTAACAGACCTTCTTGAAGCTGTGTTTTCAAGAAAACCCGGGTTCCAAGGGGGTTGAATCCAGTCTGGGTTGGATATGCAGCGTGTGGGAGACTATCATCGTGATCATTTCCAAAATAAGATTTATGAACAGAGGCTGGGAATAATGACTTTATAAATTTCGGAAACAGATCGAGAATAAAGTATGAAGAGAATGTGAACAAGGATTCGGGTAGTGATGAGTGGAGAAGTATTCAAGACAGAATGGGGAATTAAGCACTGGAGGTCTGGAACAAAAAGCGACGAACGGCCGATACCGTACAGAAAAAATGGTAACAGGAAAACGGGACCCTTTTATCCTTCTGAAGATTATCCACCCTGTCTGACCGCCAGAGCACTTTGATCACCCAGCTTTTATTCCACACCCCGGATTCTTGCCCAATGGTAGGCATTTCATCTGCTTCCGAATATCGAACTGTAGGATTCTGGTCCATGGCCGACGGCAATAGCACCGGCCAAGGATAATAGTGTTGTCCGCGGCTCGGGGTAAAAATTTGGACCAAGGGGCAATAATGTAGGCGGGTGGTGAAAATGGTCAATTGTAGGATCGGCGGCGGGTAGGGTAAACCCCAAGGGTAGCCATACCGGTGATGCTGACTTTGTGTGTGCTTGCCTATTTTATGATACCCGGGTGTTTATAGATCTGCCAGCCTCTCTCCAGTGCTCACCCACTGTCTCTAGGATTTCGGAGCCGAAGAAGACACTCTCCCGGTGGTCCCGGGCATTACTGAAGATGGAAAAAAAGGGTCTCGGCAAAAGGACCCACAGGTTTTTGTGGAGGAGGGCTAGTTGATACCGGTATATTAGATACAGCGAGAAAAGCAAGCGAAACCCGCACTCTTCCTTTGCCGCGGATTCGGATCTAAGGGTAGTGCGTCATCTACAACATTGTAGCGAGGGGAACAGTGCAATATATCTCTCCAGCGGAAAAGTGGAACAGCATATCGACGGACGTGTCGCACCTAAAACGGCGCCTGTCCTCTGTCCGTTGAATTTGCGGTTGTATTGGGAGTAGGGGCCGATGCAATAGACCTTAACGCTGTCTGGCCGCCTGAGCCGGCATGCATAGCTTCCGGTTGGTCTTGGAGTCCCCTCGGGCAGTCTTGTTCTCGCCTGCCCTGGACCTGAAGGCGGGCAAACCTCACACTTCTCGAGTAGACATGTACTTCACCAGGCGTGGGAAAATACCCCGGATGGCGGAAAAGTCCAGTGGGTGTAGGCGGGGATTATATCTCCTACTAGCGAGTATGCCTACCGAGATTGATATACGGTACTACCGGTGGTTCGTTTTGGTCACAATCAGCGTTCCCAATACAATACCGGACTCCCTCGCATTGCATTCGCGACGCTTCATCTTTGCCAATGGCCGGATTGTCATTGCACGGGATTTTCTGTGGCGTCCGCCGTGAGTCGCGAGCTGCAAGAAAAAGGCTCACCATTGAAGGAGATCTGAGAGCCCAGATTTAGGAATCCCTAATATGAACCCGTGACAGCCCTTTCCACCTGGCAAAATGAATGGGAAATAAATTGACACAACGGCTGCCTGTTGCGATGAGGGTCAGGGCCAAACACTGCGGTTTACCATCAAGAAAATCCGTGGCTCCCGCCCCACGTGTATGGCCCTGGAGCGCTCAGCAAGGCGCAAATTGCTTAGGGCCTGTTCGGCGGGAACGGAACCGTTCCGTTCCCCCCCTACAAATGACCGTTTCCTTCCGTTCTGAAGATGCCAAGACAACCATTTCCCCAGCAAAAATCATCAACGAACGGAACGGTCCACCCGCCTACCGTTCCTGCCGAACAGGCCCTTAAAACTTTCGCTTCAAATAGGGCTAAACCAGAAACCGGGGGGCACGCTCGAGGCGCACGATATGAGGAAACAGGGGCGATAGAAGGGTGGAGAATGAGCACGCTGCAGTCCCTGCGGTTCGGTTCCCAGGGATAAGAAGAGACTGGGAAGCCCATTTTCGACAAGGCAGGGCTTGAAGCAGGCGCCGAATGGTTAGCCTACACGTGTAAAAGTAGTGCCGAGCGGAAGTAGCGACCGGAATAATGGTACTCGAGTATGTGAGTGGCTGGACACCGCTACTTGTGTTACTAAATTTAGTAGGACGCTTTAATCAAATACCCACCTCTGGCCCTGCATCTGTGACTGGTCGACTGTGAAAAGGTAATAGATTGTCGGTTTCCTGATTTCTTTTTTAACACCGCAGGGCGTTATTCCTTGAGCAGTTCATGGCTGCCTTGCCAGTTTTTCGACCGAGCTTGTGTCGGCTGCGGCACGTTTCATCCCCCATTCGCTTTCTGCTTTTAAGCAATACCCACCAATCCCACAGATTTCCCCACTCACTCTACTACTAGTAGTCATGTACAGTATCATGCCAGCGCGATTAACCCCAAAACGCTGAACTACCTCGAACCCTAACCACACGCTCGGGCCCCAGATGTAAATTCGGAATATATAAGAGCCGGCATCTCCCACAACCGGCGGGAACCTGTATTGAGTCTTCGAAACCCATAGCCAAGACCAGAACACTTTCTCCAAGCACAAACTTGCTTCGCATTCCTTTCACACCTTGAACTCCAACACCGCTGCATCATGTTCCCCCCCGGTCGCGGTAATGACTGCCTAGAAGTGGGCCACAAATTTGTGATTAGTCTGTTTGGCACCAGCATGGTATTCACAGCTGAAGGAGAAGATGTCCGCCTCAGGGAATACGAGAAGGGCAAGATGAGCCAAATCTGGGCCTGTGAAATGAACTCTGACAACCGATACGGCATGCGGAACGGAGCCACTGGGTGTCTTCTTGGGCGGGATAACAACACAGAGGTTTTGTGTCAGGTGAAACGTCACAAACTGTTTGAGTGGCTTACTTTCACGCGGCTTAGCCTCGGCGGGTACTCCTTGGCGATTCCTTGCCCTGAAGGCACACTTGGTTACAAGCTCGACCCAATCCAACCTACCGGCTACGAAAGCAGCAGCCCGAGCTTAAAGCTTGGAACCGCATTTCACCAGTTCGGCCTGCACCGGCTCAAGGACTCAGTTTTCAGGCGGTTTGAGTGGGTCGTACCTGACCGTCTAGCACGCTCATCTGCTCCATACTACGATGGTGAAGATTCCGATGAGAGTATTAATGAAACCTCAATTGAGTTCCTTGTCAACCGTGGTATCCAGAATATTATCAGCATGAACTCCATAGAGATATCACCGCGCGAGAGGGGGAGGCTTAATGCCGCCAACATCTCGTATTCTCACATCAAGGCTCTCGAGTTTACCGCACCCACACAGGAGCAATTTGACCAGGTCTGGAATGCCTATGAGAAAGCCGGGGCTACGATTGTATACTGCGGATATGGGGATGGGAGGACCGGGATGGCTATCAGTGCAATTCAGCTTTTCGAGGGTCGTACCCTAACCGACCTGGATTACAGGGCGAACGGGGTGCAGTGTCCCTGCCAGCTAGAGGCATTGAGTGTGTTAAGCGAGAGACTTCGTAGGCGAGTATTCCATTTAGACTCTGTCGTTGTTAGGCCTAGACTAACCACTCCATCCAATAGTGTGGAAAACCACAGCGACCCCTCCAACACCCCTGATGTCGAACCCCCACCATATGCAGCACCCAAAAAAGACAAGTGATAGAGCACATGAGGATTGGATTGCATAAGGATTGTAGGGTGAGGGGAGCGGGTATGGATAGTCTGCGGTAGTCCCCGAATTAGTTGGTAGGATGAAGGAGTCGTGCAGTAATCACGAGGTCTGTACCGGGGAAACAGTTGGAAGAGGTTAGATGAATGTAGGAATTCGGCGGAGATAGTAGAGTCTGGAAATATGGTAGCCGGGGGAGTACGTTGGTCAAGAGGGAACGGGGCTGGGGGAAGTGATTTTCATTCATCTTGTACGAGTATCGTGGAATGCCAAGATTTCAGATGGATTACGCTTCGTCACTAATTCAGCTTCTGCTCCCATAAATTGTCCCGTTTGGGTTGCCGAGCTCCCCCCCGCAGGGAACTTTTAGAATTAGGGGCTCCGATACCGTTATATCCGCTGTTGGGGAGTCGTTAGCTATTGCGCACCCCTTTTATAAACATGTTCCTTAATCCCCGTTCCTCGGGAAGGCTAATGGTTCACAAAAGCATCTGGGCTGGCAGTACCATATCTTCAAGCCTTCCGCCAATGGTCCATAGAACCAGAAGCCGGATTCATGCCCTTCTCGCACGAGGTTTTGGCGTACCCCTATTAACTGAAACTGGTAGGATGACTCCAATTCAATCGGAGGTGGCGAGACTTGCTAGTTCACTAATTTCCTCAACTGGTGCATGAACAGCTACCTGCTCCATATTGTTGACAATTGAGGATATAGAATAGAGAAAAGATTGCGATTGAGGGATGATGTTTTATGTTTATTTTTATCAATTACAGGGCTATTCTGATTGTTTTCTTGGTTGAGAGGAATTTTTCTTGTGGAAGTAATTCCTGATACAGGAATTTAACTCCGAGTCCTGTCTTCTGAAGTTCACATTTGATAATAGAATATTCCTTTACCCTCACTCCAAGGATTCCATGGTGAAACTCTCCGGGTCCACATTATAGACACTATTTTACCATACTAGGCAGATTTCTTCCCTCGCACAATGTGCTTGTGTGGTCTTCTTTTATATTTCATATTGTTTCACAATCCTGGTAGCAGGTTCAGGGCCGAGGAATTACTAGAAGTCCGATTTGTGATGGTCAGGTGTTTTTCCGAGGAATTATTAGAAGTTAGATTTCTGCATCGTCAGGTGTCCGGCAGGCGTGGGAGTCATTTTTATTCTCATTGTAGTTGCTCGTGATATGAGGCATATGGCTAGAGGAGCGTCCAAAAATTCCCTCAGACCTCTTTTTTTCATATGGTGATTTTGAAATTAAAATGGCATTGTTAGAAATCAAACATTCGGCAACCGAACAAAAGTACAATACTAGTTCTAAGGTATCATTTTTTGTAGAAATTGAATTTGACCTCTAAAAACACCGTATCTCGTTGTAAGCGAACATGGCCTTGGTTCTCCGGCGCTGTGCCTCGTGGAGAGTGAGAATGTGATAGATTGGTAGTTTCCTGATTACTCCTGTAACACGAGCGGGAGCTATTCTTCGAGCGTTTGGCAGCTCTGGCAGTTACTTGACCGGATTTGTCGGCTCCTACTCTTTTCATTTCCACCGGTTTTCTGCTTTTTTTAGCCGATACGCACAGTTCCCAAATATTGTCCCACACACCCTGCTAGTCGTGTGCGGTCTCATACAGGCGCGATTAATCACAAAACGGTGAATTGCTTCGAGCCCCAACCACGGGGCCAACCGCCAGTTGTAAATTCAGAAGATATAAGAACCCCGCATTTTCCACACCCGGTAGGAACTTGTGTTGAGTCTTCAAAACGCACGGCCGAGACTAGCGGAATATCTCCACGCACGAGTCCGCCTGCCATCCCTTCCACACCTTAAACTCCAACACCCCTGCATCATGTTCCCCCCCGGTCGCGGTACGACAGCCTAGAAGTGGACCACAAATTTGTGATCAGCCTGTTCGGCACGAGCACGGTGTTCACAGCTGAAGGGAAAGAGGTCCGTCTCAGGGAATACGAGAAGGGCAAGATGAGCCAAATCTGGATCTGCCAGATGAACTCGCAGAATCGATACGGCATGAAGAACGGAGCCACTGGGTGTTTTTTTGGCTGGCAAGGTCAGCACCGGGAGTTGTTGTGTTTAGTGCCACATCTCCGCGGGTGCGAATGGCTTACTTTCACGCGGCTTAGTCACGGCGGGTATTCCTTAATGGTCACTACTGGTAGCTGTCAGGGTACATTTGGTAGAGCGCACGACCCAGTTCAACCCACCGGCCACGAAAGCAGCAGTCCGAGCTTAAAGATTGGAACCACATTTCACCAGTTCGGCCTACACCGGCTCAAGGACTCAGTTTTCAAGCGGTTTGAGTGGGTGGTACCTGATCGCCTAGCACGCTCGTCTGCTCCATACTACGATGGTGAGGATTCCGATGAGAGTATTAATGAAACCTCAGTTGAGTTCCTTGTCAACCGCGGGATACAGAATATCATCAGCATGAACTCCATAGAGATATCGCCGCGGGAGAGGGAGAGACTTAATGCCGCCAACATCTCGTATTCTCACATCAGGGCTCTCGAGTTTACCGCGCCCACGCAGAAACAATTTGATCAGGTCTGGAATGCCTATGAGAAAGCCGGAGTTACGATTGTATACTGCGGATATGGGGATGGGAGGACGGGGATGGCTATCAGTGAAATTCAGCTTTTCGAGGGTCGTGCCCTGACCAACCTAGCTTACAGGGCGAACGGTGTGCAGTGTCCCTGCCAGATAGAAGCATTGAATGTGTTAAGTGAGAGAATTCGTAGGCGAGTATTTCTCCCAGACTCTGTCTCACCCCTAGGCTGACCACTGGTTCCGATAGTGTTGGAAACCATAGCGACTCACCCAACACCTCCGATATCCAACCCCCACCCTATACAGCTACTAAAAAGGAGGGGTGATAGGGGCACCGCGGTGGGATTATGCAAGTATGATAGGTGCTGGGGAGTGCGTATGGGTAACATGCATGGGTATTCTAATAGGGTAATAGGAGGGTGGACGAATTGCACGATGCAAACAAAAATCACGATAAGAGACACGCAGCGGAGGACGCATGAGGTAGTCGGGTCCAGTGATAATTGGGAGAGGGAGCCGGTGGAGCACGGTTGTGTCAGGGGGAATCGGCTTTTGTCTATATAGGAGCAATGGGAAGCTGGAATCCGGGATGTGTTGGGGGTATGCTGCGCTATCGGTTCGGTTGCATCTCTACATATCTATGTGCCTCCGGAATTCAAAATCTGGGAGAATTAATATCCTAGGTACATGTGTCGGGGGTGAGGAGTAGCCCGAAGTAGGTGGATTGATGTTGATTTGCCCCAAATTGCACGGTTCCACCGGATCCGTAACAAACAGGTGCCTTCCAGTGTCCAAATGAAGCCTACAAGGTCGCCTTTTTTTACTAGATTTATTGGACTAGCGACCAGACGTTTAATCCATCAGTTATATTTATTCAGAGCGGGCTGAGAGAAGGGAATTAGAAAGTCCATCCGGTCGATATCTCCAATGTGTACTGCTGCGAATAAATTTTTCGTTATGCAGGTTGCAATTACTTTATCATATTTTATTCATGATATTCAATTTTCCCTCTAAGTCACTTGTACTGTGATAAGTATAGTAGACTTGATAAGTAAAATATCTTTAAGACTAGTAAGGTAAATCCAAGCTTGCTTGCTCTATTAACAGGAAGGAAATTTTTTTTGATTAACACATATATTTTTTTTCAGGTACAAGAACTCGCATGCAGTAAAAAGCTACGTTGCTAAAGAAAACCCTTCAATCAAAAACAACAACAAAGGAAATTATATCAAAACTATTCCAATAGCCGAAAACGAAATCCATAAAGCAGGTAATTGCC